TACAAGGTTAACATACAAAATTCCACCAACTTCCTGTATGCCAGAAATGAACAAGTGGAATTTTGAAATTAAAATCACAATACCATTTACAACAGCACGCCAAAAATGAAATCCTTTGATATAAATCTAACAAAATATGTTCAATATTTACATGTGGAAAACTACAAAGCTCTAATGAAAGAAATCAAAGAACTAAATTGTAGAGATATTCCATGTCCGTCGATAGAAATACTCAATGTTCATCAGATGTCAGTTCTTCCCAACTTGATCTACAGATTGAATACAATCCCAATCATAATCCCAGTAAGCTATTTTGTGGATATCAATCAGATGACTCTAAAGTTTATATGGAAATGCAAAGGATCCAGATAAAGGTAACACAATATTGAAAAAGAAGGTCAAAGTTGGAAGACTGAAACTAGTCAACTCTCAGACATACTATAAAGCTACAGTCATCAAGACGTGGTATTGGTGAAAGAAGAGACAAAGAAACCAAAGGCATGCTTCATGAAAGAAACAATAAAGATAGGCTGAACATTATTAAAATTAAAAATCTTGCTCAGTAGAAGATACTATCCAGGGAAAAAGAAGCCACAGACAGGGAGACAATATTTGCAAAAGAAACATCTGAGAAGGGCTACAAAGGAACTCTTAATATTCAACAATAAGAAAAGTAACAACCCAATGTAAAAAAAAAAAAAAAAAAAAATAGGCCGAAGACCTTACAGACATCTCACTAAAGAAGATATACAGACAATAAATATATAAAAAGATCCTTCACATAATATGCCATTAGGGAAACTGAAATTAAAAAAAAATAAAATACTACAATATCACCAATTGATGAAAATGTAGAACAATAGAACTCTCATTCATTGCTGGTGGGAATGCAAAATCATACAAATACTTTGGAAGACAGTTTGGTAGTTTTCTATAAAATCAAACAGACTTTTACCATACTATTCAGTAACTGGCATTTACCCAAAGGAATTGAAAACTTATGTCTACACAGAAATGTGCATACAGATGTTTATAGTAGCCTTATTCATGCTGCCCAAACTTGGAAGTAACCAAGATGTGCTTCAGTACGTGAATGAATAAATAAATCATGGTGCATCCACACAATGAAATATTATTCCATACTAAAAAGAAATGAGCTATCAGGTCATCAATACACATGGAGGAAACTTAAAATGTATACTACTAAGTGAAAAAAAGCAATGTGAAAAGGCTACCTACTATATGATTCCAACTATACAAGATTCTAGAAAAGGCAAAACTATGGAGATAATAAATAGATCAGTGGTTGCCATGAACTGGGGGTAGGGAAGGATGAAAATGTGAGACACAGAGGATTTTTAGGGCAGTGAAAATACTATTATAATACAATGGTGGATACATGTCAGTGTACATCTGTCCAAACCCATAACATGTACAACAGGAGGAAACTTTAATGTAAACCACAGACTTTTGGGTGGTAATGATGTGTCAGTGTAGGTTCATCAATTGTAATAAATTACCACTCTGGTGGGAGACGTTGATAGTGAAGGAAGCTATACATGAGTGAAGGTATATGAGAAATCTCCACACCTTTCATTCAATTTTATTGTAAAGCTAAAATTGCTCTAAAAATAAAGTTTATTTTTAACAAGCTACAAATATAAGAAATTATGTGTATTTTTGACATCTTGAAATAGGGAAAGTCTTTCTAAGTAAGATCTTTATAAAATCTGAGTCACAAAAGAAAAGCATGATGTATATAACTGCATTAAAATTAAAACTTTTTGTTAGGAAAAAAATCACCATAATTTCAACAGGCAAATGATCAAGGTGAGGAAGGATATACACCACATAGAACAAAGGCTGACTTCTTTATTAAAAGGTCCTGCCCTACGTATCATTACTAAAAAGACTAACAATCCCATGAAAAATTGACAAAATTCATAAATAGGGAGTTCATTTTTAAAGTGGCTTATGAAAATACGACAAATCCACAAACTCATTCAAGAAATGAAGATTAAAACAATCATAACACATTTGTCACCTAGTGGAATAGGAAAAAAAGAAAACCCTGACAGCACTGTTTGCAGCAGTATAACCATATAGGCATTCAAATATTTTCCAGTACATATAAACTGTGAAATCTCTTTGACAACTTAAAACCTACTCAAATTTAAAATAAACATGCACTTCCACTTCTAGGAATTTGTCCTCAAGAGATAGTGGCACCTCTCTGCAAATATATACAGTATTTGATCATTTCAGCATTGTTTCTAATAAACAGACTATAAACCTAAATACTCATCAAGAACTAATTACATTCCTATCTAGTCATGAAAAAAAAGTGAAGATCTACAGTGATCTGGAATAAACTCCTACATTCTGTTAAGTGGCAAAGCAATATTATATAATAGTGTATATGTATGCTTCATTTTTTTGAGTTATTGCTCTACTATAAGCTTCCACCTTTTTAAAGGAGGTGAACTATATGTTAGGTTTAATCACAAAAAATTGCCAAAAAATACCAATTATATGATTCTGTCTATATGATGATACTTTTATAGGCATAGACTGTTTCTGGTAAGATAAGTACATGCTAGTTAACAGTGCTAGCTCCTAGGGAAAACTGAAGTGTGAAATGAGAGGGCTACTTTTTAGTTTACACGCTTTTATACTACTTTAACTGCTTACCACATGCATATATTCCTTTTTCCAATAAAAATACTAAAGTGACTTTAATATGTAAACAGATAAGCAGGAAAGGACAACTTTCCTCTCTAGGTTGCTGAAATTTTTCTTTGCTCTCTGCTCAGATGGAAATTATATTAAGAATGTTTTACATCTGACAGCTGTATGAAGAAGGGTGAAATTCTAAAGTTTTAGGGTCATACTGGTGGTAAGCAGAGACATATAGTTAACGTGACTTCTAAACATATTTCCTATTTTCCTTTCTTAAGTAAGAGTTCACATTTGGAGATATGTTTCCTAGTCTGAAATTTAAGTCCCTATCTCCCACAGGTGAAGAGAAGAGTATTCTACTTAAAAGTTAACCTCAGTTAACTGGTAAACTGTGAAACTTTGATACTACCACCTCAAATTTTCAAAACTAAAATAAAATCCAGCTTCTTACTAATAAATTCTATATATCAGACTGAAAGGACCAAACCATTTTAAATTATATGGTAACCAAAATAAAACTTTCAAAAATGTTTATTCCTGCTTTAATATCAGTTTCACTCTTAAGCAGAGCCCTGTGAATGAAAATATAGAAATTCTGAAAGGCCATTGTTTTGGTAAATAGGCAATGACAAATATACTTTCTTCCTCTACAACTACAGTTCCTTCTCTCTTTCCCTTTTATGAACTCCTCTAGGACTTCTAATCTATATCACACAAATTAGTACTTCACTTGTGCTACCCTTCCTAGGTTCCAATATAGTGCTACAACTACCAACTTGTTTTTCCAATCATATTTAAAGTCCCTTATCATATATATTCAAGGAAAAAAGGAATGGTTTCATATAATCAACATTCTCTATTCAAAAACAGCCAACCTCCAAAACAAGTACTTGTAAGTAAAACATGTCACTTTCAAGAAATTCCTTGATCCCTCAAATCACCATATCTAAATAGTTTTAGTTATCAGCAACATGATGCTCAGAAAAAACCTAACCAAAAGGTTGTAAGCCATATTCCTGACTTGTCCCTATCAAACTCATGTTGACGTTTGGTCACCAACATGGCAGTGTCGGGAGGTGGTGCCTTTAAGAGGTGCTTAGATCATCATAACAGATTAATATCTTTCTCAAAAGACTGGGTGGCCAGGCACAGTGGCTCATGCTTGTAATCCCAGCACTTCGGGAGGCCAAGCGTGTGAATCACGAGGTCAGGAGTTTGAGACCAGCCTGACCAACATGGTGAAACTCCATCTCTACTAAAGATACAAAAAAATTAGCTAAGTGTGAGTGTGGTGGTGTGTGCCTGTAATCCCAGCTACTCAGAAGGCTGAGGCAGGAGAATCGCTTGAACCCTGGAAGCAGACGTTGCAGTGAGCCGAGATTGCATCATTGCACTGCAGCCTGGGTAACAGGGCAAGACTTTGGCTCAAAAAAAAAAAGACAAGGTCAGTTCTTATCAAAATGGATTAGTTCCCATGAAAGAAGGGTCTTACAAAGTGAGGCTGCCTCTCTTGTTCTGCCTTTTTTGCATGTGTCTCGTTCCTCTTCTGTGCTCCATCATGTTTTGACACAGCATGAGGCTATCACCAGAAGCTGCCAGACACTGCTGCCCAGTCTTGAATTTCTTAGCCTACAGAAACTCTTTTCTTTATAAATTACCCAGTCTCAGGCCTTCTGTTATGGCAACACAAAACAGACTAAGACTGGTCCTTAATTGGCTCTTGTACATATGTGAATAATTTGGAACTCGATCACAAATGGTTTTGGCTACTGCAATATCCTCATATTAATACTTTACAAAACAATGTTAACATATTACTAAAGTTTCATCTGAGCCAACAATCACAACAATAATAACACCTAACATTCACTGAATTTTAACCATATGCAGGTAGTATCAGAAATACTTTAGAGGTATCAATTTATTTAATCCTTATAAAAACCCTAGAAGAATAATATCACATTTGAAAGATGTTAAAAATGAAGCCAGTTAAGTAAATTGTTCAAGATTACATAGCAAGTAAGCAACAGGATTCAAATCTGAGAAGTCTGGCGTTGAGACTCACTGTTAACTATCACACCATATTGCTCCCTCTGCCAAGCTAACAATAAAAGATCCCTTGACAGGATTCTTAAAATGCAATTTTTACCACCAATAAAATCTCTAAAAATAAAAAACTACCAAATTTACTTATTCCTTAGCTTAATGAAAAATAAAGCACACTATACCTTCCTTAATATTTATATACCAATGTTCATTGCAAAAAAGTCTTTTTAAAAAAAGTTTTTATACAAAACTTTACATGTAATACATGTATTTACCTGGCAAAAACTTCAAAGTTTGCAGCATTTGTCTTTCCTGTGAGAAATCCACCATTAAATGAGTCATGTTGTCACTGACCTTTGGTTTCAAAGAAAGGCGAAAGGCTGAAGCCATTGTGACTCTATGGTAAACACAAACATACTTTTTAAAATAAAAAAATAGGAAGTATCAAATCATATTTAATTTCTAAAATGAAAAGACACAAATTATATCACTAACAATTTCAGAGACTATAACAAAAGTAAAAGTGAAATAGAAATTTGCTCTTATAGTCTTTTCAAAATTAACTAGATTAAAAAAACTACAGAATGTCTTTTTAAAGATATTTAAGACAATTGGTTAGCAACTTTCCTCCAGCCAATTTTTATTAAATTGCACATATACAAATAACATAAGAAATATATCCAATAAAAATAATCTTTACCAGACCCCACATTCGTCTGAACCTCTGTACACTCAATCTTACTGACTTCCTGATGCCAGCCTTACTCCTTTTCATATGCCAGGTAACGAACTTAAATTCATTTGAATCACACCCTGATTCAAACATTCTCCCTAGTCATAAGAGCTACTCCATGTGCCCTCAAATAAGAGTAGAGGTAGACTGACCTAATACTGTATAGTTTGGTAGTTGCTAAAGATAGGCCATGGATAAGTGAAATCACTGTCAATGAATACCATACTAGGTGTCACTCTGATCAATCAACATCAGACATAGGAAAACATACTATAAGAAACAACCCTGTGAAAAACCATATGCCATGGAAATAATAGAAATTCAATAAACATTTACTAGATAAACCAAAAAAGAATGAAGCCACTTTATCCAAAGCACACAGAAACTGCAGTCCATTAAAACTGGAGATTAAAAGAAATCCTCTTATTCTATTAATTTGTAATTTTATTTCAAATTTCAATTTTTCTTATTCCAATAAATTTCCACAAGTATCACAAAGTAAGCCCCTTACTATCTTTGGTTCAAGAATGATGGGAAGTACTACAGGTGAACACTGTCCTCCTAGTACACAATTTGGAAGAGGAAGGAAACAGAGCTGGTGGACAAAGGGAATACTTGGCCTTGTCAACTGTATCTGCCAAATCAATTGTATCTGCCAAATCTACCCAAGAGGTCAATGAAATGAAAGTTGCCAAACTTGTTGTATTCACTTATTTTGGGATGAAAAATGTCAAACTGTTTCTGTCTTCAGTTATTTTACTTCATTTTAAAACTAGTAATCATTTAATAGTAACAATGAGTAAACAACAGTTGATGTGTTTATCAAGAAGAAAGTGCTACAGTGAAACATAATTTACAAAAAAGGGAACTCACACTGACTGAATGCACTATATGCCAAGTATAATGCTGAGTATTTCACCCATATTACACTAAGCTGTTTGGCTCTCAAATAATACAATTTCAATAAAAAGGAACAAATACTAAGTCCTTCAGATGTTATTCTTTACAGCCCCAAGTATCCTTTGATTTGAGGACATCTGAAAGAGCTGTAGGTACTTAATAAATGCTCACTGAATCTGTGAATAGGTTTGAACCTACTTGGTTTCTTCAAAGCCTGACCAAATATTTAAATGTTTACTCAGAAATACTGAGGAAAAAAAATCTGAAAGTATTTTAGAGAATCTTAAACCTTAAACCTGTAAGACTTGATTTAATCACCATGACATCAAAGAAAAAGAATATGCCCCATAAACACATTAGAAAGGCTTATCAGAGCTTAAAAAAACAAAAACAACTCTTATTTCCTAGTGAATGAAAACTTAAAAGTTTCCATGAACCAATTTAGATGTGCAGCAATGCTACAATCTTTCAGAAGATTGAACTTTAATTTTTTACTTCATATATTTAGACATGTGCCTCAAAGCCCAAACTAAACATCTAAAATTCTTTAGATAATTCTCTATTCTACAGGATCCACGTGGCTAGGTATGTTTTAATTCCCCTTGATTTTCTTAGTTCATTTCTACTAGTGCAAGGTAAATTCAAGGATCCTTTCCACTTGATTTTTGCAAAAGAAAACAACTACAAAACATATGAACACTTTTAATTTCCTCAAACTACCTAATTGAGTCTTTCATAACCCTTATCTTTCAAGAACCAATAACTCCTGCAATATATCTCAACTAATCATATTTCAGTATTATTAAGTGTCCAGAAGTACACGCCAGTAATTCTGTCAAGTTGTAGAGATGTGCTATTATCTTATTTCTATCCTTAGTTTTCTCTCCTAATCCTGCTGTTCCTCTGTGTAGCTTCTATCATAGCAAATGATAAATAATGAGTTTTCAGATATTTTCATTTTTTATATTTAATTCCTTGCTCAGATATGTTACACATTCTTCCTTAAAATCCATCTCTGTCCTTATAAAAAGATAATCCTAGGCCAGGCAAGGTGGCTAACATCTATAAGGCCAGCACTTCAGAAGGTTGAGGCAGGAGGACGGCCTGAGCCCAGGAGTTTGAGACCAGCCTGCACAACATGACGAAACCCCATCTCTACAAAAGATACAAATAAATTAACTAGGTATGGTGGCACGTGCCTGCAGTCCCAGCTGCTTGGGTGGCAGAGGTGGGAGGAGTCCTCAAGCCAAGTAGGTCCAGGCTGCAGTAAGCTATGATCATGCCACTGCACTCCAAACTGGGTGATTAAGCAAGACTCTGTCTCAAAAAAAAAAAAAAAAAAAAAAAAAATCCTTTCTTTGCTTGGTGAAAATAGCTAAAGTAACTATTTTATTATGACTGCATGTTTAAATTATCTTTATATTTTAAATGGCAATAATGGAATTCTAAAAGCTCACTGTTGAGGAATACCAAAAACTACATCAGAGAAACCTGAACATTATAAAGCTAAACACCAAATTTTAAAAATTAAGTTGAAGGGCTGGGTGCAGCGGCTCACACCTGTAATCCCAGCACTTTGGTAGGCCTAGGTGGATGGATCACTTGAAGTCAGGGGTTTGAGATCAGCCTGGCCAACATGGCGAAACCCTGTCTCTAGACACACACACACAGACACACAGACACACAGACACACACACACACACACACACACACACACACACACTCTCTCTCTCTCTCTCTCTCTCTCTCTCTCTCTCTCTCTCTCTCTCTCTCTGAGCTGGGTGTGGTGGCAGGTGCCTGTAATGCCAGCTACTTGGAAGGCTGAGGCAGGAGAACTGGCGGAGGTTGCAGTGAGCCCATATTGCACCACTGCACTCCAGCCTGGGTGACGGGGAAAAAAAAACGAAGTTGAGACTCAGAAATGTTCCTTGGGCAGGAAATAAAAACTTTGCAGGAGGCCACAAAAATGCTGTAAGCTTTGAACAAGCCAAAAAAAAAAAAAAAAAAAAACCAAAAAACAAAGGAGTTTGCCTGAACCCTAATTCCTGAGATCATCTGGATATCAATAAAATCAAGCCAAGAGGCTGGCTTAGAGGAGGCAAAAAATCACAAGCTTCAGTAAAGAATACAGCCTTGAAATTGGTTATAAAATTAAATTCTGACAAACAAATCTGGGCAAAGAGAAAGAGTTCAAGGATACAGACAAGATTCTGTGATGCAAAGTGCCATATAGAATCTCGAAAAAAGGAGAGATTTTGTAAGGTCGTGATTAGGAAGTAACTTCTAATTCAGAAAATTAGGAACTAGAGCAAGATGTAGTATTATAGGTAGCTAAACAGGAAGTATAATATAGCCAGAGAGGAAGATGGATGACTCATAGCACATTCCTGACACAACCCAAATCTACCTCATCCACAAAACTGACCTATTTATCATCCATTCCTCACATAGCTAATATTTTTCACCTTCAAACTTTCAAAATCATCTTTCTAGATCCAGGATTTAAAGGAGTGATCCATGCCTTTGGCTGCTGCCTGATGTAAAATATATTTTAAAAATATATAAAAATTAATATAGGACTAGACACAATGGCTTATGCCTGTAATCCCAGCATTTTGGGAGGCCAAGCTGGGCGGACGGCTTGAGCTCAGGTGTTCCAGACCAGTCTGGGCAACATATCAAGGCCCTGTCTTCACAAAAAATAGAAAAATTAGCTGGGTATGGTGGTACATGCCTATAGTGCCACCTACTCAGGAGGCTGAGGCAGAGCCCGGGGGCAGAAGCTTCAGGTTAGAGTGCCACTGCACTCCAGCCTGGATACTAGAGCAAGACTCTGCCTTACAAAAAAAAAAAAAGAGAGAGAAACACAGAATTAAAATTTTCAGCCAAGATTAACAAAAGAGGCACTGTTTTTCACATTATCTACAATGAAAATTTTTATGAATTATCTGATGAAGAATAATTTAACCTAGGATTTGGAATGGTACTTTACAGAGCTGTGCCTTTCAGAGAATCTCACAATTCTCAGAAGAAAAAGTCTTGTTACAATATCAATACAGACAATGCTGAGTGACTAGACAGGCAGATCCAAACTGTTCCTTCTGTGTTAATGCAATCCAAATGTTGCCAGCAACTCCTTTAGGACTCTATGTTTGTTATAACAAGTACTAAATACCTTTTCTCAAGCCTGGCTCTACCAATGAGAAAGACCTTTTAAGCCAAAACCTTTAATAATTTTCTTTAATTTTCTCTTCCCATAGATTATTAACTAGATAGTGGTGGCATTAGAAATAGAAAGAGATGGCACCAGGAACAGGATGGAATGAGAATACAAAGGTGTTAAACAGGAGGGCAATGAAGTAGGAGAGCTTTAGCTCTTGAGGACTACTTAAAATCAGTGAGTTCACAGAAAATAAGACCCACTTATATTTAAATTTAACAACAAAAAACACATTCCAGGAATATACATTTTTGAGTTATTCAAAATAGTCCCCTCTCCATTAGTACAGCTAATTAAGAGCTGTTCTAAAACTAAAACTAACTACATTATTACACCAGAAATGAAATTCTTCTGAAGCACATAATTATCCACAACTATGCTTTTAAAAAATCTTATTGATACAATGGTTATTCCAAGAAAATATAGAAAGAATATTTTATTTTGTACTTGGTCATTGGGTATTTTTATCTTAACTAACACAATTCTACTAAAAAGTTATTTCTGAATTTCATTTCTGACTTCAATATTGATACTTATATAAAAATGTGTTTTATACCATACCTATCCTTGATCTGTCTGGCAGCCTTGGAGCCAATCAGGGAGAAGAGAAAGAAGGCAGTTAGTGCTTTTCATGCAAGTTTCAATGGCAGTGACATGCAAGAAAAGTTAGGATATAAACCCTGCAATAGATTAGTTCATATTCACCAAAACATAAACTATAGGAAATGTATGTGTATAGTTCACATAAGCTTTCATCATGTGATGTTACAACTATCGTAGAAAATCCAGATCCCATATAGATCACCTTTTCGGAGGAAAATTTAATACTTCAAATTCCCAGTAACTATAAATGTTTTTTTCTTACCTTAAGATTATCAAAACACACCTCCACTTTCATTCAGTCTGATAACTTGTCAACTAGAGCAACCAACCTCCTTCATGGGACAGCTTCCTTCATGGTTTTCTTGTACATGTCAAATTTACTCTCTAATTTTTCTTCAGAGATCTCTTTCACTACTTCATAATGGTTGTTGCAAGTTTTCTCTATATGCCTCTATAGGGCAAGGAATTCTGAGAGCTTGCCTGCTAACAAATACAACTAGGCTGCAATTTTACAAACCTTTACTCCAAAGAAAGTTGTAACGGCAGAAATCCAGACACAAAGAGACCAGAGAAATACTTCTAACAACGGGGTCTTTCTCCATGATGATCTCATAGATGCTACCAACTTAAACCTATACATAAGGTCTGTCTTTCATCTTTTTTTAATGCAAGCAAAAGTTTAGAAAGGGAACTCAGCTATTTACTTGGTGTTGCATGGTCATACAAAATAATAAAAAAACAAGCATTTTTTTGTCCCTTTTATATTTACATACAATATATCCAACAAAAGCTTTTCTCCCCATAGTAACCAGTATAGTTAACAATATATCGGACACAGATCAGGCTGCTTTGATCAACACTGCATTCCCAGTGCCTAGCAAAATGCTTAGGACAGAGTAAGACTTAATAATTATTAAATTTATTTGAATGTTAATTAGATATATGTAGCAATGCTTCTGTTGCCTCTCTTCTTCAGTTCTAACATTGTTCCTATTCGTTATTGGTCATTTTTATATCTGCCCTAAAATATTCTGGTCTGAGCACCCTTTCTACTCAAAAACACAGAACTGAGATTTAAGAGATCAGCATATTATACAGTTTCAGCACTACTATTAATCAATTGAGACCTTGCATACTAATCATTCTATTTCTTTACTACGGAATTTTGTTCCTTAATGTTTCGGAAAATCATTCCAAGGCCCTCATTCTATACCAAACAAGCAAAATTCTGTGGCATCTGTATGTATCTTAAGTCATGAAACTACTTTAGTACCAGAGATAGGAAAATTCTTAAAAAGTTAATTATACTGATTTTTTAAATTACTGTCATTAAAGCTAGAATTACAAAATAAAGATTTTAATGTAAGTGTTAGGGGAGGGGAATAGAGGACTCCTCTCTGTACCTGACATGAAACAAGTACTACTAGGATTGCTCTTTGCCTCTCCATTGCCTTATTTCTCTTAGGAAAATAGTATGACTTATCTGATAATGGGTTTCAAAGGAGAAACTAGAAATTAGTAGCTCAGAACCTTCTGCTTTTTCTGGCAGCTTGCTTGCCCACTAAAGTAGTGTCATGAACATATATTCTGTTCTTTCCCTCTGTGCCATAACTTTCACTGAAAGATGCTTCCCCTGCCTATCACCTGAGGTAGCCCCTGCTGATTATAGCTGGGTGAATTTGTCTAATTCTAGGAATTTATTATAGGAAACTTGCCCAATAACAGCCGTATTTCCCAGTATCCTTTTATCATTATTTGGCCTCTTATCAGTTTTATCTTATTTCCTAATTGGTTTTGAACTTGGTTAGAGGAATATTATTAATCACCCTTGCATAACCCAATGATATAAAGACCATTACTGTTTTTTAAATTGACCACGATGATTCAATCTTGTGTCAAGTGTTACTGAATTTAATAAGGTGAAATTTTTTTAGTGTGTGTGTGTGCACATATGCGTGTATGCAAAGCTTCCATGGTATCACTTCACGTACCATGCTGTTTGTGAAAAAACAGGAAAGGAATAAATGAAAAGCCAGGTAATCTAGGAAAAACTGTTGTCCATGCATTTATATAGAATACACCCAGCTGGTAAAACTGAAAACTCTCATGGCTCCACTTTCACTTAGGCTCAAATTTTACTATATATATTGCATGAATGCAAGAGAGGTTTAAAAGTTATTCTAAGCAATGATTAGAAGGCGGAGTTTCACATTCTGAAGCTATTTCTCTGAAAGGTCCCAATTTCAATAAATCTCTTAAATTGGAAACTAATTTTTTTCTAGAATTTTTTTCTCTCAAAACAGAAAGGTATCCAAAAGATACACAATACTATACAGCTTGATTCCTCTAAGTTTCTACTTCAGGAATGGTGAATTTTTTCAATTACAAACTTGGCAAAAAGGGTTTCAATAGAAGATCTAAAGAGTGATGTTGAGTAAAGCAATATGACTAAGCTTCATGGAAGCTTTTCAATAACACATAGTACCATAACCTAAAAATAAATCTGAACATTCATTGCAGCTTCTTCATAACTCACTATGTGGAATTATGTAGGCTCAAATAAATGTCTTGGCAACAAAGCAGTGGTAAATCTCAGAATCGGTTGGTACTAATTAGACAGATGTTTGACAAAATTCAGCATTACAATTCTATTTAAGGAAGTTTGGTCTCTGGTGACACATTTCTATGACTGATTAAAGAAATGGAATTCTAAGATTTAGTTTAAAAACAATTAACTTAGAGACGGAGAGAGGGAAAGAGGGAAAAGAGAGAGAGAGGGAGAAAGGTAGGCACCATCTCTGATATGAATGCAGAGAAACTGTAATACAAGCAAAATGTAGAAGTAATCACAAACCAATCTTCATAACTGCCAATTAAATTTAAAGAAGTTAAAGCAGATATTTTCCCAATAATAGAGAAATGAGTTAAATAGATCTTTTCTCAATCTCTCTTGTTCTTAATCTGTAATGGGTGAATATAGAATCTATTTCCTTCTGTGAATTTATCAAGCTCTTTGAAGATAAAGTATCTTATTGTTTCTATCTTTCTTCTTTTTTTTTTTTTTTTTTTTTTTTTTTGAGACGGAGTTTCACTCTTGTTACCCAGGCTGGAGTGCAATGGCGCGATCTCGGCTCACCGCAACCTCCGCCTCCTGGGTTCAGGCAATTCTCCTGCCTCAGCCTCCTGAGTAGCTGGGATTACAGGCACGTGCCACCATGCCCAGCTAATTTTTTGTAGTTTTAGTAGAGACGGGGTTTCACCGTGTTGACCAGGATGGTCTCGATCTCTTGACCTAGTGATCCACCCGCCTCGGCCTCCCAAAGTGCTGGGATTACAGGCTTGAGCCACCGCGCCCGGCCTATCTTTCTTCTTTAATATCATCATTTCTCTTTTTATAGAAAGGGAGAAGGAAAAAGAGATATCCTCAAAACATTATTTTTTTTTTTAGGCAAAAAATATACGTCTTTGGAAAAAAAAAAACAGATTGTACATACATTGGAAGTTTTGTATCTGGTAGACATATATTTATCTGTTTATAGAAGGAACTATTTTTCAAAAAGCATGATCATTTGAAAGAATCTATCACAAAAGCCATAGTAAATAGCTTAAAATACACTTTGAAATACAGCACTGCAGGCAACTATTTTATGATTAGGCACATTTGTGCAACAGGAGATTGCATTTCTGTAAGACATAAACACCCAGAAATGAAATTACGGTGAAAATTACAGTTTGACCGAAGCTTAACAAATATTTAGATCTGTTTTTTTATATTGCCCTCAAAACTGAAACATTCACACTTTTGTTGAAGGTCCTCTCCTGTCTCCTAATATTCTACACTTCAGCCTACAGAGGGAGATACTGGCAGTACTTCTGCTCATTTGAAAGTACTGAGATAGCTTCCACCTACTCCCCCTCTTACTCCTGCCAGTGGTCAGAGCCTAACACTCATTGGACAATATTCTACAGGTGAATCATCCATTGTGCGTGAGATGTGGGAAATACGCTAAACCCATTCTCCATCTTCATCTGTGATCAAATGCAGAAGACACTGTTCCCTTCTCACCTAACTCTGTACTTTTTACTCCTCTATTTTAGGGACCCCATGGGTAGGAAACCATTTTCTCCCTTCTAGTCTGACAACTGGAGTATGTGTGGCAAGATTGTGATGGCAAGTTAGTTATACTGACTTGGAAATTGTCCCACTGACCCAGCTCTTTATATAGAGAGCATTCAAGGTCTAAAGTCAGGGTGGGAATAGAAATATTAATTCTGGAAAAGGACCCAAGCAGTGTTCTACAGGCCAGCTATTAGCAGAGAGCCCACATTTGGTGGGATGTTGCCAATCTGTAAGTCCAGGAATAAAGCTATGATTGATGTGGATCCAATTTGCTGGTGATCCTTCTGTATCAATTTACTAACAACCAAACTTCTAGCAGTTAAAAAAATTAGCGAAGGTATGTTCTAAAATCTTTTTGCATTCATGCTATTTTTATTTGTTTACTTTCAGAAAGTAAAAGGCTGGTATACAGCATAGCTTCACATGCAGTTCTCATATGAGATACTGCAATGTGGTAATTTAAATATTAGAACTTAAAATACTTTTTGAAGATAATGAAGTATAAAAAGACACACTGCCTCAATTTTAGTCTATGCTATTCTTTTTGTCCCCATAAGCCATTCATATTAATCTCATTTAAGCACTTTAATATGGGATATTCACAAACAGTATACTTTAAAGGAATTTCTTTTTCCAGACATCTAACAATATACTGCTAGACTGGCCATCTCCAAAGTCATCTCTACCTATTCAGTCAGCAACTAGCTGTCTGTGGCAGGCCTGTAGTCCATAGCTGGCTAGGAAAGTTAACTTAGTTTTTGATATGGAATCAAATCATTATCTGGTTAGTATTTGAATATATGAAGAAAATAACTGCAAGCAGCTCTCAGTTAAGCATTTTTCCAGAATGATAAACCCAGATTTCTGGCTAGGAAACACTGAAAGATACAGTAATCACCACATAACTATGTTTCAGTCAATAATGGACTGCATATACAATGGGTGGTCCCATAAAATTATAATACTGTATTTTTACTATACCCTTTGTATGTTGAGATACACAAATACTTGCCACTATATTGCAATTGCCTACAGTATTCAGTACAGTGACAAGCTACACAGGTTTGTAGCACAAAAGCAACAGCCTATACCATACAGCCGAGGTAGGTAGTAGGCTATACTATCTAGATTTGTGCCATTACACTCTAGCATTCCCACAATGATGAAACTGCCTAACGAGACACATTTCTTAGAACACATCCTCATCGTTAAGCGACCCATGGTTGTAATTCATTTCACCACATCTCCAAATGGTTTAAGCTACTAACTAGTACTATAAACTGCTGCAAGACAAGACCAAAATAGTAAGAACAAGCAAAGTAGCCTATTAAACCACAGTGTGACTTATTTTATCAGAATCTTTCTAATTTATAATCTGTCAGGACAAATTATAACAGAAACAAAGCTGGAAAGAACAAAGGACAGTGAAAGAGAAAAGGGTAGCATGTGGGAGAAAGAAGAGAGAAGAACTCTGAAAATGTCAATAAAAAGAGAAACATGGGAGAAATAAACTTTTATCACAGTTTTTCCAAGTATCAGTCCCTCCTTAAATCAACTGGATTCAAGGCATTTTTGAGTATTAGTGTCCATATTTTATAGTTTTCTTGTCTTCTTCCTCACTCTCAGGCTGTCAGTTGGTAATTCTTGCTGCTATGACTATGCCTGTCATTAACAACTGCCAGACTGCACTAAAAGGAGAATTTGTTGACAAATAGGAAACAGACTTCCTAGGCTCAGGCAATCCTCCCAGCTCAGCCTCCAAGTAGCTGGGAATACAGGTGCATACCACCATGCCCAGCTAATTTTTTTGTATATTTTGTACAGACAGGGTCTCGCCATGTTGCCCAGGCTGGTCTTAAACTTCTGTGCTGAAGCAATCCACCCACCTTGGTTTCCCATAGTGTTGGGATTACAGGCATGAGTCACCACACCTCACCTGGCCAACATATCATACTTTTAAGGTACTTTTAAGTATGATACATTTTTCTCATAATCCCTTTATATAGTAAGTCCAACTATGTGCATAAGTAAGCTTCATTACAACTCACCTCCAAATGTAAAGAATTGATTCATGTACTGGCTTACAGCAAAACAATTTTTGTTTTGATTCATTAGTTTAGAAGAAATAATCAATGTTGAAGTTCAATTTTAATATTCAAAGATGAAAGGTGGTAAATGTTACCTTCTCAAGAAAGTTTTTTCTACCCTCAAGTTTACAGAAAATCATAAAATGAAAACAATCACTAGGCATAAATCAATTATAAAGTTACCTTTCTAACACCAATGCAGCTCACTACACACTCCACAAGGGTGAAGTAAATAACATCAAAGTCAAATCTTATCTTGATAACTACGGAGTAATATTTTGCTAATTATACAGCTTAATTTCCCACTTTTTTCACATCATTTTAAAATATATTCTGCATTTCTGAATTTTGATTTGACAAAATGGTAATCATTTTAAATGACCCTACTTAAAAGCAGCATTAGAATTTAGAATTTGTAATCACTTAAACACCAGGATCTAAGTTAAAACATTAGTAGGTTTCTTGCTCTACTCTTTACATTTTTATACTAGGCATATCCCTTAAGTAAGGATATACATTTCAGGTTTTAATAAAACACTCACTCACTTAAATTAAGTAGTGGGGGCATTTCTCTGCAATAAGAAGTTACACAGTTACAGTGCTCATATGTATAAAGTTAAGGATGCTTTCCCAATCAGTTCACAGAAGGAACACAAAAACAATTTTTAAACATGTTTGTCGATGACCCCAAAGACACATACTTTTAAGTGTTTGCTTTAGAATAAATAAACAGCTAGCATTTTACTTATCAAGAAACCCCAAGCTTTTATTAGTATAAGAAATGGGTAAAGAAATCCAAAACTAAAGAAAAACAAAAACGCCTTTTTAAAAATACAACTTTCCTTGTTAAGTGTATTAATGCAATTTTTGCATACCTTTGAGAATTCTTCAGGTTCCTTTATATCTAACGACCTTGTTGCAAATTCCAGTAGTTCTTCAGAGTTCTCCAGGGCATTATTACATTGACTAATCTGACTCTAGGGGGAAAAAAAACCACTAAATCATTAAAATGAAATTTCCTATTGTCATCAGAATCTTAAATATATATTGTTATAATGAACTTACAAATAATTTTAATAGCAATAATACAGCAAAAATAGTTCAGTGAGCTATTGTAGCAAGATAATGAAGACAAGTTTTATACATATAAAACTTGTTATATTTGTTTTATATTTGTTTATATATATATATATATATAAATAACAAATTTTAATTATCTTAATACTTTGTACCTCTTTCCATGATTTAGCAAAAACAGCTTAACTGCATACAGGTAAAGATATACTCATCATTTAAAACAAAAAAGAAAATAAAGTAATTATAAATAACTAAAGCCCAATTAAGCACTCTTCTCAAATAGTATAGTCAGGAAAATAACTTCAATTTAAATCAAAATATCAAAATAATCTATCTACAGACAACATCCTCTGTAATGAAGACTAAAATTCTTGGTGGTGGTTAACTATTTAAGTTGCAATTTGTAAATGAAATTACAGGTACATTCAGTTGAGCACAATCTTAGTACTTCATTCATCAAACTACACGAGTAATGTATACTACTAAAAATGCTAATTTATAGTTTCTAAGACTGGATAGCATAGGAACTACTAACACAAGTTCCTAGAATTCAAAAGAAAATTCCAAAGAAATTCAAAAGATGGCAGTTGTTATAGTGATGTGCTCTGTCTTTATTGCTCACATATTAATTCTACCTAATACAATCTTTCTTATTCAGTTGTCTCTACGTATAACTTGAAAAGATTGTTAGTTTACCTTCAAACAAATAAATAGATCCTATTTCTAAGCTTTAAATGTACCAAAGATTTTTCTTCAGAATATTTATTAACAACAAATCTGAGATTCAAATCTATTTATTTTTCCCTCAGGATTAGGACTAAAGATAAATCATGGCTGATTTTACTGGTTTCTGATGTGTTCTACTATTTGACTTTGGAAAAGTAGAATAGTTCAGTCACGTTTTGGGTTAAAATAGGGTTTCACGTGTTAGTTTAAAAACCTAATCACAATTTTGTAAAAATACTGCCCCTCTTATGGGGCAATAAATCTCATGAGTCCCAAGCAAGAGTTAACCAACAACCATTTGGAATATCCCATTTGGAGATTAGCTTTATTAAAAAGGTTTAAGCAAAATCATTGAGAACAAAATGGTAGGATCAATGGGGCAGACAAAGTCAATGTAGCATTAAAGTAAAAAAAATGAGAACGGGAAATATGCCTCAAGGAATTATTAAAAGTAAAAGTCCAGACTGAGGTCAAAGTTTTGGATAAAATATTTTATTCTAAGAAATGCTATGGATTTGCTTTGAGGTCAAGAGGAAAAGCAAAAATAGGGGCAGGTTACAGAGGAATGTAATTTAAGAGCATTAACTTACCAGTTATTCAGAGATATTATGAATAATTTTGTAAACCCCAAAAAAAAGAACAGATTCTCTACAACCTTCAACTAAAGATGGAAATGGCCTCAGTAGCCAAGTCTGACTCTTTTTCATATTTGTTTTTTAAGCTATCCCAAGAAAACTTTATGGTTCAATTTCCATTAGGTTGATATCATCATAGCTTTTCATTTGAATCATAACACAGTAACAAGTTCAAGAATGAACAGTTTTGTTCCCCAAGTTTATGTTTCAATAACTCAGTCTTATTTTATAACTACTGTCCCTTTAGTATACCTTGATCTCCCCTAGATCCCTAACCCTGTAAAAAAAATTACCAATATTTCTGTGGTATTGAGAAGACATAAATATTAAGAATTACACAGGATAATAAAATATAAGATAAAAGCCGAATGGAATAACTGGAAAAAACGTAGAGTTGAAATGGTGATAAAGTAATAGAAGATCGTGCTAACACCTTTGCTATCACCACTTCCGAACAGAATTTAAATTGTTTCTTCCATTTTCTGCAACATTTTAAATTCCCAACTGATAATCAATAGCTAATAATGAATTTGTTAGAATACTTGATCAAAAAATCAGAGTAAAGTCGTCCCATTTAAAAAGAGCCCAAATATAATTTTAACAGATTTCCATGAATCAGATCAGATCAGCTGAAAAAAAAAATCACTGTGTTCATTATTGTAATTAAGATTCACAAAACCCAAAGTGGACAGAGTTTACCTGAGGCTTCATGACAAAAAGTTTAGATAAATTTATAAGACCCAATGATGTACTGTTGGGAATTTAGTCAAAAGTAAAAATATAAATTCATCAGTTTACAAGAGCAATAAATTCAGCCCAGTCTAAGAAGAGCACTGTATATTTTACTTGTGTACACATATATGCAGCTCTGTATAAGGCTGTCAAAAAATAAGTTCTCCAAAAAAAAAAAATCACTTGTTCTAGAAGTCTGAAGACATATTTTAAGCCCAAAATCCACAATGGGTGAAGATTATCTAATTCTGAAAATTTAAGCACCTTAAATTAAAAAGGAAAACTCTCCTACAAGATCAAAACCCACATGCCATAACATTAATGTTATTGGAGCTCTCCTCCTTCAGCCCTGACTCTGCATCAAAATAGTAAGACTCTTAGGGAGTTCTGTTCTTTTATTATCTCAATAAACTTCAAATCATATACCTGATAGGGAGTTAATATACAGAATGAATAGAAAACTCCTACGACTTAACCACCACCAAAAACCCCACAAGTAACCCAATTAAAAGATGGCCAAAGAACCTAAATAAGACATTTCTCTAAAGAAAATACACTAATCAGTAGGCCAGACACAGTGGCTCATGCCTGTAATCCCAGCAGTTAGGGAGGCCAAGATGGGCAGATCACAAGGTCAAAAGAGTGAGACCATCCTGGCTAACACAATGAAATCCTGTTTCTATTAAAAATATAAAAAATTAGTCAGGCATGGTGGCAGACACCTGTAATCCCAGCTTCCCAGGAGGCTGCGGCAGGAGAATCACTTGAACCCAGAGGCACTACTGCACTCCAGCCTGGGTGACAGAGCAAGACTCCATCTCAAAAAAAAGGAAGTACATTAATGGCCAAAAAATACATGAAAAGATGGATGCTCAACATCACTAATCACTAGAGAAATGCAAATCAAAACCATAATGAAATATCATGTCATATCCATTATGATGGCCATTATCCAAAAAAAAAAAAAAAACAGAAAATAAAAAGCATTGGTGAGGATGTGGAGAAACTGGAAGCCTTGGGCTTGGTAGAAATGTAAAACAGTGCAACTACTCTGGAAAACATTGTTTAGAGGGTCCTCAGAAAACTAAAAAGATAATTACCACATGATTCAGCAATCCTACTTCTAAGTATATGTATTCAACAGAATTGAAAACAGGATCTTAAAGAGATAAACTCCCATGTTCGTTGCAGAATTATTCACAGCTAAAAGGTGTAAGCTGCCCAAATGTCCACAGACATACAAATGAATGAAGAAAATGTGGTATATATATAAGTGGAAGATTATTAAACCAAATAAGTCACAAAAGGACAAATCCTATATGATTCCACTTATATGAGACATGTAGACATTCAAAATCATGGAAACAGAAAATAATATGATGACTGCCAGGGGCTCGTAGGAAAGAGAAATGAGTTGTTCATCAAGGAATGTACAGTTTCACTTGCACAAGATGAAAAAATTCTGAAGATCTGTTATACAACAATGTTAATATATTTAACACTATCAAACTGTATACTGTACACTTTAAAATGGTTAAGATAATTGGCCAGGCATGGTGGCTCATGCCTATAATACCAGCACTTTGGGAGGCCAAGACAGGTGGATCACCTGAGGTCAGGGGTTTGAGACCAGCTTGGTTAACGTGGTGAAACCCCATCTCTATTGAAAATACAAAAATTGGCCGGGTGTAGTGGTGGGCACCTATAATCCTAGCTACTCGGGAGGCTGAGGCAGGAGAATCGCTTGAACCCGGGAGGTGGAGGTTGCAGTGAGCCAAGATTACTCCAGCCTGGGTGACAGAGGGAGACTCCGTCTCAAAAAAAAAAAAGGTTAAGAGAATAAATGTTTTTTAACCACAATTTCAGAACACTTACGGCCAAAACAAAAAGCCATTCTTCTACAAGGTAAGGGTATAGTCAAACTCAGAAATTCACTAATTTTTGCTTACCATAAATCGAGCATTAAATAGACTAAAGTTATTATTCATATTTGAATAATGCTATGATCTCACCTGTAACTCTTGGGATTTACGAGTTTGTTCCTGTTTGATACTGTTAATCATACCTTCTTTTACTTCATCCAGTATAGAGTATAAACTATCAAATTCTTCATCTAACTCTGAGAGTATGTTAGATGAATTTGCCTGTTTAAATAACAAAACAGTTTTACTGAAGAGCTATCAAACATTTAAAAACTAAAACGTATACTCAAAAGAGAGAATAAATTTATATTATAAACTATGTTGGCCTAATACAAAAATAACATAATTCTAATATTTGACTTAAGCCTTTAAAAAAAGATAAATGAAACAAACTGCCTGCTAATGCTGACAGTACTATTTCAGCTATACTATCAGTTATCTTTTATAAACTAGCCCATACTCTCTTCACTTTACTGTTTCCACAGGACAACATGAAAGGTTGTTTTAAGGTTCCCAACTTCACCCAGATCTTCAGTCTCTCAGGCAGACTCTAAGCCAATGGTTCTTAACCTCTGGTGCATATCAGGATCACTGGTGAATTATTTTAATAAAATATTCCAGAGATTTTAGTTCAGTAAGTCTGAGGAACACTTTGCATATAAAGAAATGAGGCAGATTTGTTTAAATTTTAAAATATTTCAGGGTCTCTAAAACACCGCATTTACGTAAGACAACCAGAAATTAAAAGACTAAGCAATTATTTATTGGATCCTAAGATATTTATGAAATATTGAATCATCTAATGACTATAATTTGTAGTCAAATCCTGTATTTTATTAACTAAAATATAGATAAGTTACTGGCCCAAAGCCACACAACTAGTTACTAGTAACATGGGCAATAAAGCATTTCGAGTCTCTTGACTTCTCAGAGTTCCTCACTGCCTTCATAAGTGGGATGCTGCTATTTCAACAAAAAATAACTTAAAATATTTGTAGAATCCCTAGATAAGCAATATCCACACTTGCAAAGATTATGAAATAGAAGAAATTATCCTAAGACATTTTTCAACTTGGATGAATCATTCAATTAAGACAAGGGAACGGGCACTAGCTAAGGAAGCTAATATATATACATACATACATATATATATATATATATATATATATATATATATACACACACATATATATATATATATAATCTACTGTAATACCATATGTCCAAACTTTGGCTTATAATGTTTATAAAAACTAGACACCTCACTGGTACCTCACCAAAGGTGGTGTTAACCATTTTACTAGTTCTATTTGCAGAGGTAAGAACAACTATAGAAGTGGAATGTGCAGTGCAGAAGGGAGAAGACCTAACTCAAAAAGCATACTAGCCATTCAGTAACAGCATGACCTTGTACTTACATTCCTAGACGTCAATTTATTCATTCATAAAAAAGAAATTGGCCAGGCGCAGTGGCTCATGCCTGTAATCCCAGCACTTTGGGAGGCTGAGGCAGGCAGATCACCTGAAGTCAGGAGATCGAGACCAGCCTGACCAACATGGAGAAAGCCCATCTCTATTAAAAATACAAAATTAGGCAGGGTGGCACATGCCTGTAATCCCAACTACTCAGGAGGCTGAGGTGGAAGAATCTCTTGAACCCGGGAGGCAGAGGTTGCAGTGAGCTGAGATCGCGCCATTGCACTCCAGCCTGGGCAACAAGAGCAAAACTCCATCTCAAAACGAAAAATAAAAAGAAAAAAGAAATGGACTATTTTCCTCTCAATCACCAGACGGCAGCTTGTTGCCTTTTGCCTACTACTAAGCCCCCATCTTCAGAGACAAGGGTGTGATTTAACACTCCCACTCTTTTTTGTTTCCTAGAATTAAGGTAGACTTCTAATAATTTATCAATCAGAAGAATGGTTTGGGCTAGCTCTATATAAGATCTCTCCTTCCAGATACCAAATGTGATGGTTCTCTTGTCCACAGATCAAGAGCTTTAACGCCATTAGCTTTATGCTTATTTAAAGGAAGCTGACTCACCAAATTTCCAATAAAATAGTTCAAGATAGCTAAAATAATGAAGTTTTTTGGTTTTGGGTTTTTTTTTTTTTTTTTTGAGACAGAGTCTTGCTCTGTTGCCCAGGCTGGAGTGCAGTGGTACAAATCTTGGCTCACTGCAAACTCCACCTCCTGGGTTCAAGCATTTCCTGTGTCAGCCTCCTGAGTCACTGGGATTACAAGTGCCTGCCACCATAACCAGGTTAATTTTTATATTTTTAGTAGAGATGGCATTTCACCATGTTGGCCAGGCTGATCCCAAACTCCTGACCTCAAGTGATCCGCCCACCTCGGCCTCCCATGAATATTCTTTTTGCTAAAAATTATTTTGGTTATTCTGGGTCTTTTGTAATTCTATATACATATTAGGATTTTTTCTATTTTCGTGGAAAATGGCATTGGTATTTTGATAGAGATTACAATGAATGGGCAGATCACTTTAGGCAGTACAAACATTGTAGCAATATTAATTCATCTAGTTTATAAACAGGATATTTTTCCATTCACTTATGTCTTCTTTATTTTCTTTTATCACTGTTTTATATCTTTTAGTATATAAATATTTCATTTCATTAGGTAAATTTACTCCTTTTTTTATGCTACAGCAAAGGGGATTGTTTTCTTATTTTCTTTTTCAAATAGTTCGTTTTTCGTGTATAGAAGCAATACTAATTTTTGTGTTTTGATATTGCATTCTGTAACTTTACCGAATTTGTTTATCAGTTCTAATAGTTTTTTTGGTAGAGTCTTTAGAGTCTTCTATATATAAGATCATGTCATCAGAAAACATAATTTCACTTCTTCCTTTCCTATTTGGATGTCTTTTCCTTGCCTAATTGCTCTGGCTAGGACTACTAGCACTGTATTAAACAGAAGTGGTGAGAGTAGGCTGGGCACAGTGGCTCACGCCTGTAATCCCAGCACTTTGGAAGGCCGAGGCGGAGATCACCTGAGGTCAGGAGTTCAAGACCAGCCTAGCCAGCATGGCAAAGCCCCATCTCTACTAAAAATACAAAAATTAGCTGGGTGTGTTAGCATACCCCTGTAGTCCCACTACTCGGGAGGCTGAGGCAGGAGAATCACTTGAACCTGGGAGGCGGAAGTTGCAGTGAGCCGAAACTGCGGCACTGCATTCCAGCCTGGGCGACAGAACAAGTCTCTGTCTCAAAAAAAAAAAAAAAAAAAAAAAGCGGAGGGTGAAAGCAAACATCTTTGTCTTGTTCCTGACTAGAGAATAAGCTTTTGACTTTTCACCTTTGATAAGATGATATAGCTGCGGGATTGCTATTATATATATGGCCTTTACCATGTTGTGGTACATTCCTTCTACTCCTAATTTGTTGAGAGTTTTTATCAAGAAAGGATGTTGAATTTTGTCAAATTCTTTTTCTGAATCTACTGAGATAATCAGGCATTTTTTTTGTCTTCAGTTTTGTTAATATGGTGTATCACATTTATTGACTTCTGTCGAACCATCCTTGCATCCCAGGCATAAATCCTACTGGATCACGGTGAATGATCCTTTTAATGTGCTATGGAATTCAGTTTGCTAATATTTTATTGAGGATTTTTGCAACTATGTTGATTAGAAATATTGGCCTCCCTTTTGTAGTATTCCTGGTTTGGCTTTGTTATCAGGGTAATGTTGAACTTGTAAATGGATTTGGAAGTACTCCCTCCTCTTTGATTTTTTGGAAGAGGCTGAGAAGAACTGGTATTTGTTCTTTAAATATTTGGTAGAATTCAGCAGTAAAGCCATCAGGTTGCAGGCTTTTCTTTGATGGGAGACTTTACTACTGATTCAATTTCCTTATTCATTACTGATCTATTCAGATTTTCTATTTCTTTCTGATTCAGTCTCGAGAGGTTGTACATTTCTAGCAACCAGGTTATCTTGAGCTCTCTTCCACAATCAATATGTCATTACTTTCCATTTAGATTATCTGCCCAAACCTGGAACTATTTTTTTAAGTATTCCTCTCCCTCCTCAGTGGGGACTTTACCTTTTATTTTTAAGTACTTTCATCTACTTCTACAAGTAGACCTCTTACCATTAACATTTTCTTTTCTGTTTTTTTTTTTTTTTTTGGAGACACAGGCTTATTCTATCACCCAGGCTGGCTAGAGTGCAGTGGTACAACCACTGCTCACTGCAGCCTCGACCCCCTGGGTTCAAACGATCCTCCTACCTCAACCTCCTGGGTAGCTTGGACTACATGCATATGCTACCACAACCAGCTAATGTTTGCATCTCTTTTTTTTTTTTTTTTGGTAGAGACGGGGGTCCCACCATGTTGCCCAGACTGGTTTTAAACTCCTGGGTTCAACCCATCGACCTGCCTCAGCCTGCCAAAATGCTGAGATCACAAGCATGAGCCACCATAGATGGCCAACATTTTTCTTCCATTGTTTATTGTAAAAGAAATGTTTTACTTGCCAGCACTTTTCAAAAAGTACAATTTGCTCTTAATTCAAATTAGAAAAAATGTCAAATGGAAAAGGACTAAAGTGAGCACTCTGGTACTCCCAAACAACTATTATTCCAGAGTTTTCCTTTTCCTTATTTTGATTTTTCCATGGAGAAAACAGGAATTGCAAGGTAAACATTTTTACTTTATCCTCTATTTTAAAACCGTGCTCTTACTTCCATTAGTTTATAACCCAAAGTTTATAGAGTATATTTGTACTTCTTATTTGACTCATTCATTGTGACATATTTACACAAAAGTTTTCATTAAAAAACTCATACCTGAACTCCTTTTAGTGTATGATTTAGTGTATCAATAAAGTTCTGAATTTCATCATTTTTATTTGCCAGAGTTGAAATGATCCTTTGTAGAGCTTCCTAGAATTAAGAAAAACATTAAAATACTACATTTCAATGAAAGAAAGTTATAAAACTCATTAACAAGGATTCTCTAAACAAACTTTATATAAGAACATATTGTATAACAAAAAGGAACAATGTAAAATTTCTCATTGTTCAAAATTTCCAAAGTCTTATAATTACAAAAGATGAGGTAGATACTTCTACTGTATTGAGTTCTCTTATTCCTAATACACAACTTAATCACCATGATATTTTTCAGACTGATAATGATCAGTATAACGTAATATCAATAGAATTATTTTAGGTCATGGGCCATGGCAATGGAATAAAGCAAAATCTTTAAATGTTGTAAAAACAAGTGGAAACGGAATACAACATCAGGATCCAAAGAATAAAGGCAAGGAGACACATTTTCACCAATATTTTATTTATTTACAAAAATAAACATTTTAGAGATATGAAACTAGGTAATATGCATTTAGAATGACACATTCATTGCAACATTTACAGATGCTGTAGAACTATAATAAATAAAGCAATTTTATTAGCAAATAGCTCAGACTTTGATAATGCTTCCTATTTAAATAAAACATTTGGTTAATTTTTTTCTCTGGTTCAGTGTTATCCAATAAAATTTTCCACTATGATGGAAATGTTCTATAAATGTGCTGTCCAATATGGTAGCCACTAGCCTCAGAAAGTTAATGAAGTCTTAAGATGTGACAAGAACTGAGGAACTAAATTTAATGTTTCAAACTTTAATTAATTTCAGTTTATACTGCCACATGTAACCAATGCTATCATATTGGACAGCACAAGTCTAGTTGCAGTAACTCTTCATTAGTAGCAATACCAAAAACCAAACAAGGTTATTTATAGTCTCAGAAAAAAATCTAATGCAAGTAATTTAATACTCTGTAATTTTCTCAGAGGCATAGGAATTTTTTCTGTAAGCACCTATGAGCTTAAATATTTTAATAAAGCCTATAAGATTTTGTGGAATAAGGACTATCCTAAAAAAATAGAATAAGATATTGATAAAGGATTATACATAAGGAGCCCAGGAAACAGTCTGAAGGAGAATAATGTTTTATGTTTTTGACTTTTTTTTTCCCAAGATGGAACTTTTTACTCATCTCCCAGGCTGGAGTGCAATGGCGCAATCTTGGCTCACCGTAACCTCTGCCTCCCAGGTTCAAGCAATTCTCCTGCCTCAGCCTCCTGAGTAGCTAGAATTACAGCTGCCCGCCACCAGGCACAGCTAATTTTTGCATTTTTAGTAGAGACAGGCTTTCACTATGCTGGCCAGGCTGGTCTCAAACTCCTGACCTCAGGTGATCTACCCGCCTCAGCTTCCCAAAGTATTAGGATTACAGGTGTGAGCCACCATGCCTGGCAACATTTTATACAAATGTTCATAAAGCATTGTAGTAGTCAAATATATATATATATATATATATTTTTTTTTTTTATATTTTATATATTTTTATTATATATTATTTATATATATATTTATATATTTTTTTATTTTATATATTTTTATTATATATATAAATTTTTTTTTATATTTTATATATTTTTATTATATATATATATATTTTTTTTTTCACTACTTGTGAAAAAAAGCTTTTTTTGAGATAAAGTTTCATTCTTGTTGCCCAGGCTGGAGTGCAACGGCGTGATCTTGTCTCACTGCAACCTTTGCCTCCCAGATTCAAGTGATTCTCCTGCCTCAGCCTCCCAAGCAGCTGGGATTACAGGTGTGAGCCACCACGTCCAGCTAATTTTGTTTTTGGTAGAGATGGGTTTTCACCATGTTGGCCAGGCTGGTCTCGAACTCCTGACCTCAGGAGGTCCACTAGCCTCGGCCTCCCAAAGTGCTGGGATTACAGGTGTGAGCCAGTGTACCCGGCCTTTTTTCAGTTTTTATTGAATTCATATATCTCATGATGATTGTAATTTTGTTACTGGGTTGAATTCATTAGGCCTGGCTCCTCTTTTTCACAGAAGATGATCTTTTTCAGAAGACTCTTCTACTCTTGTTCTGGTAGAATATTATCAACTTTTCTCTGAGTTCATTAGATATGCCTCCCCAGTGAATTAAGGTGTGATTCTCTACTATGAAAATTCCAGCAGTTCTGTCACTGAAAACTCTTGGCAAATAAGATGTTTAAAGAATACATACTTTATTGTATAAGTATACCATATGATGGGTTAATTGATTGGATTTAGAGGCAGTATCCCAAAGCAGTTAAGAGCATGAGCTTTAGACAAAGATCATCTTTACCTTAATAGCAGCATTACTTTGAATTTCCATTTTCTCAGCTACACAATATAGATATAACCCTGCCATTTTGAGGCATAGATGGGGAGGCAGATTCAGTTCATTAGTCAGAAAGAGCCCAATCTTATTAACTAAAAGCTACTATAAAGTCTGAGTATTGTAGAGAACTGTTTTTACTATTCCTCTGTGTTGCTTTTAAATATGTATTCAGCTGGGCACAGTGGCTCATACTTATAATCCCAGCACTTTGGGAGGCTGAGGTGGGTGGATCATGAGGTCAGGATTTCAAGAATGGCCTGGCCAACATGGTGAAACCCTGTCTCTATTAAAAATTACAAAACTTAGCTGGGCGTGGTGGTTCACACCTGTAATCCCAGGTACTCGGGAGGCTGAGACAGAAGAATCACTTGGACTCAGAAGGCAGAGGTTGTGGTGAGCCAAGATGGCGCCACTGCACTCCAGCCCAGGCGACAGAGCAAACCTCTGTCTCAAAAAAGAATAAATAAATAAATATGTATTAAGGCTGGATGTGGTGGCGCCTGTAATCCCAGCACTTTGGGAAACTGAGGTAGGCAGATCACTTGAGGCCAGGAGTTTGAGACCAGCCTGCCCTACATGGTGAAAACCCATCTCTACTAAAAATACAAAAATTAGCCAGGTGTGGTGGCACATGCTTGTAATACCAGCTACACAGGAGACAAAGGGAGGAGAATTGCTTGAACCTGGGGTGTGAGGTTGCAGTGAACTCAGATTGTGCCACTGCACTCCAGCCTGGGTGACTATAACAAGACTGTCCCAAAAAGAAAAAGAAAAAAAAGGAAAGCATATTGAACCTATCTCAGGGGAGTACTTAGAAGATTTAAGTCCTTTGATCTCCTTTTCCTCATTTCTGTATTACCTCTGTTGCTTCTCCAATGCTGCTTCTCCAGTTGTGTCCACCTCTCCAAGTCTTGGTGCACCAGTTCTTGGGAAGAGGATAAACACTTAATTCTTGGTGTCATTGGTCTTCATAGTGTAACTTCATTGTGTTATTATATCAAATTACCAACAGCAGTGACAATGGGAAGAAACAGTGTAAGTGAATACAACAGAGAGCTTTTAGGCAGCCCTAGGGATGATAATAATAATCTCCTTATCTCCAGGAACTGTGAGACTCAAAGTAGAACAGCTATAATTTAAAAATTTTCAACTGGGCACGCTGGCTCACGCCTGTAATCCCACCTCCAGGGATACTTTGGATGTTTCTTCACCAGCCGGCAACCTCTGTGGCTGGCAGTGTCTCTGAGTTTCACACATGCCCACTGGGCTCGTTCTGCCCACTTGGCCCTGCAGGCTGTGCTCAGCTCATGCTATTGGCCTGGATCCCACACCTACCGAGGGTGAGCTAGGCATGGAGCAATGAGGGATGTGTGAGCGAGTTAGTGGGCGTGGGGTCTGGTCACTGTGCACAGCCAAGCACACTGGCTGCTGTAGCAAGGTAGGCAGCTCCAGGCACTGGCACAGTCGCGGGCTCCATGAGGGCTGCAGCTGGACCAAGCATACTGCAAGCAGCTTCCTCTGTGGGTGCCTGTGCCTGGATGAGGGGAATGCAGTGGTGCCTGAAAACTCAGAGATGCCAATAACTGGGGAGCCCCAAGGGGTTGGGGTGCAGGGATGCTACAGCTCTCTCGTTCCTGCCAACCACAGCTTGGCCAGTGGGAAGGGCAGGGCGTGTTTTAGCCTGTTGAGTCCCGCCACCTCACTTGGGCCAATGGCTCCCAGGCTGGCCCAATCCCATTGTCACTTCCGTCATGTGGGGCAGCTGCCTAATGCTGGAGGAAGGTGGGAGGGTTATAGTGTTAAAGCTCTGGCTCAGGGAATCCCCAGGTCTGGGCCCCTAGAAGTGTTGCTGCTCTTCACTCCTGCAGTTGGTATCACTGCCTGCAGCTTGGCCAGCTGGCCAGGAACACGTTACAGGCCTTTTTGCTTCTGCCAGCAGCTCAGTAAGGTAACCAGGAAAGTGTTACAGCCCTTTCCGCACCTGCCTTTGCGAAGTTCCTAAGTTATTGTCCTGCATCCACTAATAATGAGGTCACATGGACAACTGGATGGTGGGCAAGGCAGAGAAGAGTTTTATTGAGCAACAGAACATCTCTCCATAGACAGGAGTCCCCAAATGGGTAGTCCTGATGAGTGACGGAGGTGGGTTTGGGGGGGGTGGGGAGAGTTTATTGGCTCAAAATGGGGAAGTGTACGCTGATTGGTCCATGGACAGGAGGAAGTGTGTGCCGATTGGTCCATGGGTGGTCTGGAAAAACCACCATTTGATTGGCTGAAAGACACAAAGGAAATTCTCACTCAGGGTGGTGGATTCCACCAGGAACCAGCTGCCCAGTTCTCAGGCTTCAGGCTGTCTTCCACCTGAAGGTCAGGTTTCACCAGGGACCCTGCCACTATCTGCCTAGGAACAGGTCTGCTATCACTAGAACCATTAAGGAGGTAAAATCTATAGAACTTTATCACTGTATGTAGAGCACAAATTAGAGAGAAGGAGATAGGGATAATGGCCTAGCTTTCTGTCTTTGCTCTTGATTAAATTTGGAGGACATGCAGGGATAGACTGAGGTAGAAAATCCATTTCGATACGATATCTTTTAGATCTTTTCTGCTCTCTTCTCTGCCCTGGCATATTGCCTACCATATGTAGAAACACTTTTTAAAAACTGCTGGACTTGGTACCTATTCAGCCAGACTCTTCTTGTATACCTCCTAGATTAGACACATACTATCCTTACATACACCTTTTACTTAACTCCTACCACCCTAGAGAAAATTTTAGCTTTATGTCACATACACAAGCTAGGGTCAAGTTTCAGAACTCAGCACATGTAATACTAATTCTTTAGTTTTCATATATTTTGGTGCTGGTGGTAATTTTGTCTTAAATATTCTGATTCCTTGCAACTTGTTTTCGAGTTCTACTGAGCACCAAGTTCCTTAGTGCTTTTTATCTTTATGCCTTTTCCAGTTAGTTCCAGCCAGTCTCCACTCTTGTGAGGGCCAGAATGGTCGAAAACCTAGCCACCTCTCTGATAAAATTTTACTATTTTAGAACGCAAATTTTAGCTCTTCATCAGTCTTTCGTTTGCTCATCCTCTCCACAGCAGTTACAGATTAAAACGCAAATGGATTAGAGCTTCTGGAGCCTTTGTCTCAGTTGTCTTCCCTTGGGAAATTTTCAGGATGTTTCCTTCTTCCAGTAAGCTTAGAAAAGCTTAACAGAGGCAGCATTTCATCTATATTAGCCAACAAGGTCACATTGGTTGCTCTGACTTTCTCATTCTTTATGATCTGAATAGTTGCTTCTTCTGCAGCCATGTTTACTAATACATTCGGTAGCTTTTAAAATATAGATGATCTTAAATGCTAGGGTTCCAGAGCCCTCTACAGCTGGCTTGTCCATTCTGACAGCATCTCAGTGGTGTATTATAGCCAAGGCTCTGAAGCTGTCCCCACCTAGAGACTGGAGTCCATCTCCTTAAAATAATCTAGGCCTTTAGTGTTTACACTTTAGCATTAGGGTAAAGCAACTTTTCTCAGAATGTGGACCTTTTATCTAAGTGTGTATTACAGACTCTGTACTGGAACTCCCTGTCAAATTCAAGAGCTGTAGAAGTGCTCTCTCTTCAAAGAATGAGACTGTGTTTCCTAGAAATACTATATCAGCCTTTAAAGACCTTTCTTTCTCATCCACTACAGTATTTTTACAGCCTTAGGCAATCATATAGAATATCATTCCCCTGAAGGCTTTAACACAGATTGTAGAGTTTCTTTCCAGAAGTATGGGTATTAATACTTCTTAGGCCAATACAGTTGAAAAGGGTCTTGCATTCTGTGACAATAGAATTTTGAATGAATTTAAGGGGAATGGTAAAGATAAGATTAACTGTAATCACCAGGTATGGTGGCTCATGACTGTAATCCCAGCACTTTGTAATCCCAGCCTCATCTGTATAAAAAAACACAAAAAATTAGCTGGGCATAGTGGCGCACGCCTGTAATCCCAGCTACTCAAGAGGCTGAGGCAGGCAAATCGCTTGAACCTGGGAGGCAGAGGTTGCAGTGAGCTGAGATCATGCCACTGCACTCCAGCCTGGGGCACAGAGTCAAACTTCGTCTCAGAAAGAAAAAAAAGATTAACTGTAATCTAAGGGTGGTATTTTGGAGGTATGGGACAGTATGATAGAAATTGGAGGGTATTATTCTGATGATTCTTTGAATTTGTACAACCTATACGTCAGCTGTTCTCAGGTGCAGTCTATGTTAGCTGTCAATCTTGAAATGGACATGTGTATTTTTTGTGATCCCAAAAAAGTCTTCTCTAAACAATAACATGAGTGAACAGTGTAAAGTTCACAGGAGAGAGCAGTGTATTTGTTCCTTTTGTTGTGGTATTTGAAGGACCCCAAATGGCGTTACTTATGCACCAATTTCTTTTGAGAGTTGGTGGTTTTAAAATGTCTTTCACTTTCTAGAGTTAGTGTTTATGTAAATAAAACTGAGAAATTAGTGAAATTCTGGTAAAGGAAGTAGTTGGTTGTAACATTTTAACTTATATCCACATAGAGCTATTATAATTCAAGAATCTGGCATAAAATAAAGAAATTCTGGTCTTTTCAGAAAAAAGTTCCGAAATTATTTTTCGTGGTTTACTTTTAATTACAAATTATTAATAGAGGATCTCTGCTCTATTTCCACTCTTAGAAATATGTGGTCTATTTGGATAACATAGCGCTCTAAGCCTGTATTTTCCAGGGTGGCAGCTTCTAGCCATATGTGGTTTTTGAGCACTTGAAATGTGGCTAATTTGAACTGAGATATGGACAAGTATAAAATACATGCTGAATTTTTAAGACTCAGTACCAAAAAAAGAAAAACTCATTGTTAAATATTGACTACATGTTGAAATAATATATTTTGAATCTATTAAACAAGATATTAAAATTAATTTCTCCTTTTTCCTTTACTTTTTTGATTTGGCTACTATTGGCTCCTCCTATATTTCTATTGGACAGTACTGCTCTAAGGAGAATGAAAACCTTACAGTTGGTAAAGCCTGTATTCCGATCTCTAACATCACTATTAGACCAGAGTCTATTAACTTGCAGCAGGTGGGTAGCTCTTAAAGGATCAGAGGATTTAGCTTGAAGATCTGATTCAAAATTAGAGCATTTAGATGTCTTTGACTATACTCAGTAAATAACAGGAGCATTCAAAGGTAGGCTTTGGCTGGGAGCAGAGGTATGGTTGCCATCATACCTATAATGGCAACACTTTGGGAAGCTGGAGCCCAGGAGTTTGAGACCAGCCTGGGCAACATAGTAAGAACTCATCTCTACAAAAAGTCAAATAATGAGGCAGGTGGATGGCTTGAGCCCATGAGGTTGAGACTGCAGTGAGCTATGATTGTGTCACTGTACTCCCACCTGCGTGACAAAGCCTCAAAACAAAAAAAAAAAGTAGGCTTCTCATTAAAATCTTTGGAGCTCAGGGCTTATCTAGTTGGGGCAATAAGCTACAGCTATCTTCAGATTTTTGCTATGTAATTTCTCAAATGCAAAGCTTGAACTAAACTTAGACCAAAAAAAACAATATATATATACATAAATGGGAAGCTATTTTATACTAAGGAGATTTTTTTTTTTTGACTCTGAACTATATCTGCCTTTTCTTTTTAGTACCAATGTTCTATAATTTTTCTGGTGGAACTTTTTTAAAGTTTTGTTTTTGTTTTTTTTGAAATGGAATCTTACTGTCACACAGGCTGGAGCAAGTGGTGCGGTCTTGGATCACTGCAACCTCCGCCTCCTAGGTTCAAGCAATTCTCTTGCCTCAGCCTCCATAGTAGCTGGGATTACAGGCACCTACCACCACACCTACCTAATTTTTGTATTTTTAGTAGAGACAGAGTTTCGCCATGTTGGC